TGGGAAGTGTATGGGAGAATGGCAGGCAATAGGTACAGTGCATATTTGGGGATCAGAAACTCAATGACTTACTTACATTCCAAACAATGGTATTACCGTTGTTAAAGAGTTGACAGAAGGGAAAGAGATGGTCAGATTTGTGCTTTAGAAAGAACTATGTGAGCAGTGTGAATGTGTTTCTTCAGATTCTGCTACCTAACTCCAGTGAAAGATGATATACTGTCTGACACAAAGTGATGGCAGAATATTCAATTTGAGAGCTATTCATTGATAAATTTTAATCTATAAGGCTAAGAAGTGTTTTTCTATGCAATTTTCTATGTAATTTAAGGTAATCCTTAAATGAAGATGATAAATTTTGAGTTTCTCATTTGGGCATTTGAAACTATCCTGACGCAATTTACCCAGGTTAGGAATACTGGTATGATGCAGGGTTGGGAACAGGGGAGGAGGTGATGATGGTAAGAATTTTGGATATGTTTGCCTATAGAACAGCTTAGTAGGAGGTAGCCACTGGGGCTTGGACACATAGGTATGCCACTCAGAAGAAGAGTGTGCTTTGGTGATAGAGGCTGTACTTTTAAAAAAAATATTGATGTTGAATTTTTAGATCTGGTGACTTTTGATGTCTCTTGGTATCTTTAGCACACTGTATGTTATGGTTTATGTCAGTGGCCCCGAGGCCTCATGCATTTGCATTGTGCATTTGTGATTGGTTCATTGTCTACTTTGGATTGATGGTGTCAGTGCTACACCCATCTAGGGGTGGAGCCAGCACATAATGTAATGGTAAGAAAAAGGAATTTTCTCTTTCTCTTCGGTTTCGGCAATGCTGTTTGCAGCTGCCATGAACTGCAGTCCTGCCATGCCACCCTGCCTTGGAGCCAACTGAGTATAGACTAAAACCTCCAAAAACTGTAAGAAATAAACCTTTCCTTTCCCAACTTGGTGCATCAGATATTTTTTCTCAGCGATGAGTAAAAAATAACTAAGACAAAATTTGGTATTGAGAGTGGAGTCGTTTGCTGTGACTATACCTGACCATGTTTTTCGAGAGGCTTTAAAAATGGCTTGTGGGCAGAGTTTGGAAAGGTGCAGACTATTGCCTAGATGCATAGAGCTGGAGCAGCTTACGCTGTTGTATAAAGGAGATTCTGGTCAGAGCTCAGGAGACCAAAAGTCTGATAAAAAGCCTGATGGTAAAGACCAGGCTTGGGAGGTTTCTGCTGAAAAAAAGGACTACATTGGTTGTTGGACTCCCCATGATGTGTGTTATGTGTTGGCAGAAAGTTTGTCTGCATTTTGCTTGTGCCCGGAGACTTTGCCTGAGACTGAGACAAAGAGCAATGGACTGATTAATCTGAAAAAGAAAATTTCAAAGCAGTCAAATGTTGGGTCTGTGGCATGGCTATTGTTGGGGGCTTTTAGACAGCCTTTATGTTGCAAATCAAGAGCAAAGAGTCCAGCAGGATAATTTACAATACTGTGAGTTTGGCCAAAAGAAAAATTCCAGAAAAGCTGTAGATTGTAAAGACAGAGTTGAGACTTTGATTGCTGAGGAGAAACAGAGAGATAAAAAAGCTGGTCCTAGGGCATCCCAGAAAGCAGCATTTCTCCCTTTGCAGCCTCAAAACTGCAAAAGTAAAAAGAGTTTGTACACACACAAAAAAGCTACAGAGCACCATGCTCCAAAATGGCGACGGAGGCCGCATGAGGTTCCAAAATGGCAGCAACATAGAAAAACTTTTCTTCACAATCAGGTTCACAGAGCGCAGCAATCCAAGCAATGGATCTCTACAGCAAAAAAAAAAAAAAAAAAAAAAGCCTGGCTACTGCTCCAGCTAGCAGCAGACTTGCTTTGCTTCCAGTGCTTTATATTCCCCTGTTTGTAACTTTTGGAATGGTAATATTTATCTTGTGCCTTTACATTTCAAAAATGTTTAACCTTGTTTCATTTGTACAGGAGGTTACAGTTAAGAGTTTGCCACAGATCTTGGGGGAGAGTTGGGACTTAGACTTTTCAGCAATGCTAAAACTGTTAAGACTTTAACAACTCTTAGAGATAGACTAATGTCTTTTATATAAAAAATGTACATGAGTCCTGGGGGTCAGGGGTGAAATGTCATGGTTTATGTCTGTGGCCCCCAGGCCTCATGCATTTGCATTGTGTATTTGTGATTGGTTCATTGTCTAGCTTAGATTGATGGTGTCAGTGCTACACCCATTTGGGGTGGAGCCAGCATACAATGCAATGACAGAAAAAAGGCATGTCTCTCTCTCTTGTCTGTTTCTGCCTTGCTGTTTGCAGCGCCATAAACTGCGGCCCTGCCATGCCACCCTGCCTTAGAGCCAACGAAATATAGACTAAAACCTCCAAAAACTATAAAAAATAAACCTTTCCTTTCCCAGCTTGGTGCATCAGATATTTTGTCTCAGCAATAAATAAAAAATAACTAAGACATTGTATTTGGTAAACATTAGGGATATCTATGATTATTGTAACCTAATTTTTTAATTCTAGTCTCTTGCATGAGGTCCATCGATGAGGAAGAACTACTTTCCATCGACTGATGCCATTTATTTATTTTCCAACTTAGTTATTGGATACATAGAAGGAGCTGAATAGTGGGAGAAATTCTAAGTTTTAGTAAAATCAGAATTAGTCCAAAGGCTAGTAGTACACTCATGTTGAAGTAGAAAATGGTAGTTTGATAGCCAGGGAGGACATAGCTAGATAATGAAGCAAACTCTCCCAGTCCATAGGAGTGCACTAGGGACCAAAGAGGAACAAAGGATGCAGGCAGATAGCTGCAGGGGGAAAATAGAAGAGTCAGGGGCTTCTCATCTGTCTCATCCCTGCTAAGAGATTTCATCCTCCTTAATCAAAGGGAGCTGAAGGGCAGAGGTCCATCTTCTGTAACTGGTTCAAAGCTGATTGAAGGCAGTTGTCCCTGCATAGAAGAAGAATAAAAATCTCTTGATACACAGTGATTACATGGGGTCTTGTCTTCTCTAGAGACACTGGTAGTAAGCTTGCATCATCATCAGCTTAAGATGGGAGTTACTTAGTCTGGAAGATACAAAGTTTACCAGAAGTTTAAAGATATAATTTGCGTAATTACTCCTAAAGGGTCCTAGTGGAGCTTCCTTTCCACCAGTGCCTTCACAACTTCACCCTCTCCTCCAGGACTTCTGGTCTAGAAACTATTGCTAGGACTGCTTCTGACTTTCTTCATAAGGACCAGACATCCCCAATAACTTCCATACTTGAGCTCTTTTATCACCACCCCCATGCATAACTATATTCTTTTAGAGCACAGACATGAGTTCAGCAATGTCTCTGTGGTGATATTCTGGGGAATTTTCTATCCAGAGACTGATTGCCTCTCTAGCCATCTTGGGGTTTTGTGGTTGCCCTGATACTTCAAATGATGTTGTCTTTTTGAAGAATGGAGCGGATATTGTGGAATGACTAAGATCAGGAAGGGAGGGAACTGGGGCCCTCATTTGCATACCCAACTTCACAGCAAGCCTTCTGGAAGATTCCGTGATTTCAGCGTGTTTTATGCCTCACCCTCACTGCTAGCTGCTAAGTAGGTGGCACTTTAGAAGTACTTCTTGGGTTTTAATCTATCAGGGCTCTCTTCTGTGTACTGGATTCCTGTGCTACAGCTCAGGCCCTGTTAAAATAAAGACTTTGATGTTCCTGATAAAAAAATAGTAATAAAGCACACTCTCACTGTCAGTGTGATATGACAGGTTTTAAGATAATGTATGTCCTGAATTTCTTCCGCCATCTTTTATCATAGTCTAAAATTTCATCATGCCATTAAAATCATTCCTTTAGATCAGCAGTTTTAAAAATTTTTTGTGTTTAAGGAGTTGTTTGGTAAATCCTATAATACTACAGAAATTATGAAATGGTTTAATGAAATATTTAATATATCAGATTTTTTGAGATACACAGAGAAACGATAGTTGAGACAGGACTAGAATATGATTGGTTTTGTTTCATTTCTTCACATTTCATTGACAATTCTTTGAAATTAATGATTTTAATATTGATAATTTGAAGACCCAGAAGAAATGTCCTTCTCATTAAGTTTACATTCTTTTCCCCTAGGAGCTATTGTTCTATCAGAAGACATTAGGATTATAGAGAACCTAACTGTAATTTTTAGATATTACTGCATTTCTTAATGAGAAAAAACATTTTTGCCATGTTGGGAGATGAAAATATGTGAGATTTGTTAAAACAGGGCTTTTTCTCTTATTTGTGAATATCTTCACTCAAATACTCTGTAGGTCTGTTTTTATTAGAGTACTATTAGCTGCTATAATAAATACTAATGCTTCATTATTAATGCATTATTGCTGATAAAATAGATGTAATAATCATTTGACACAATTGAAGTACATTTCTTGTTTGCATAGCAGTCTAAGCTGAGTGATCCTGGCAGGCATATTGGCATTCTTCCATGCTGTGCTTCAGTAGCTGTGCAACCCCTAGGGCCTTGCCATTTGCACCCAGCTGGTAGAAGGAGGAGAAAGCATGCAGGAGCCTCACTTGCTTTTTAAGTTGTAATGAGAATGTGATATTATCTGCTTACATTCCATTGGTGAGAACCATTAACCTGGACCACACAGTGATGCAAGGCATGCTGGGAAATTCTGGGAACTTGAAACAGGTAGTTGGCTTCCAGTAAGAGACTTACACAATGCAGGTGGGAGCACTGGATTTTGTGCATAGTTATCTGCTTTGACTATAGGGATTATATAACAGATATGGGCACAACATAAAGATCGCACATAAAAATCGCTTATTATATTACAGTTTCACATTAAATGTATAATTTTATGTAGACATAAACTGCTTCAGTTGATTCTTTTCACTTGTTCCTGATGTTTTGTGATTGGTGTGATTCTTTACATTAGCAAGAATCTTGGATTCCTTATTCATTCTACAGAAAAGCTTGAGACTTTCTTTCTATATTTTTAAGGTTGGACAAAATTTGCCCGATTGACACGGGCTTTGACAAATAGCCGGAGTGTTTTGCAGCAGCTTACGCCAATGAATAAAACAGAGGTGGCACACAAGCACTCGCGATTAGCTGAGGTAAGTGTGAGGCTATTTTCACTTCCCAAGATGGTGCTGTTGGTACATTTTTGTCCCAAGTGATTCAGTATAAGAATTTCTGGCTATTACATTGCAAATATATAGGTGTTAGTTAATTTTCCCTTGTAGAATTGGAGAAGTCCCCAATATTTGTTTTTATTTGCTCCAACTTTTGAAATGGAACGTAGATTGTGACATCTCAGCTGATGCCTGTAAAGTGTGAGATTTCACTGGAACGATTCTGTATGCAGCAAGAATTTGCTACGGGTTTGTTCTGTGATTAGCTCTCCTTAAAGGATGGAGATGCATAAGCAATGGTCCCCACCACCAAGGAGTGCAACGTACAGCAGAGGAAAGTGATCACAGAATTTAAAAAGACTACAGCAGAGTGCAGTGGGAATGCACGCAGTAACACTGGCCCAGATCTGGGCCACAAGAGCAGATGACTGAGTGAGGCGATTCCTGGGTTAAGTGAATCTTGATGGCAGGTGCAGAAGGAAGGGTGGCATGGGCCAAGCTTTGAGATGATAGAGGAGGAGGGTCTTGAGTGAACCTATAGTGGGGTGGAATTCAGGTGAGGAAGGAAAGATTAGGGTAGTGTACAGTACAGTAGTTGTGGTTGGTATCTCATGTGCTAGGACAATCTCTCAGAGAGATTGGTCCCAGCTGGTTTCTTTTGCATGTTATTTTTTTAGCGTATTAATTTGAAGATATTCAAGGAGGGGGTTACATAGCTTTCACCAGGTTGCAAAAGGGTCTGAGGCACAAAGATGACTAAGAAGCCTCACTTGACCTTTGATTCTGTGAAGAATGAGTATGCAGGAAACAGGTTAGGAAGGCTTAGTAGTAATTTAGCTAGAGTAACGCTAAAATTGGAAAGGGTAGCAGAAGAAGGCAGATTACAGCCACACCAGGAGCGGAGTCAACCCATTTGTTGAGAGATGAGAACTGAATATGAAGCAAGAAGATAGGTAAAGGTAAGTCGATGAGTTTGTTTTAGACATCTGGGTAGCTATTGCTGTTGCTTAATAAAATGACACATACAAAAGGAGAAAGAAAAGGAGTAATGATAGGGAATTCAGGTGCAGGTGTCTTAAGTGTAAAATCTCTGTCCTTGTGGGGAAATGGCAGTGGGATTTATGAAAAAAAAAAGGAATTAGGATAGAATTCCAAGACAGCTGCAAGCTTTATGACTTGCATGTTTTCTGTAATTATTATTTGTCTTAACTGGTATGAAAGATGCCAACAATCAAATTAAGCTATCAAAAACTGTGCTGAGCTATAATGGGTACTCAGAAAATATTATAATGTGACTTACCAAAGAGGAGAAGATAAAATTCAATGCAAGTATTCACCAGTTTACCCTGCCAGAGGACAGTGAGTGTATGGACCCCAGAATAACTCTTGCAAGGGGTTGGAAATATGAATCCTGGTTTTAAGAGGGTTAGGATGTAAATATGGCCCCAGATTTTAGAGCTATGGAGGTTTTCTTAGCTCATAGTTAAGAGACATTTGTTATAGTTTTTTTTTTTGCTCTAACACAGTTAGCTTGGGGAAAAATTAATACTTTGAGATCTAGACAGGTTTTTAAAAATAAAGTAAGACATTAACATAACTGTTAAGTAATATTATATGTAAAACTGAAAAAGATATGTAATTGGCACATTATTTAAAGTGATGAGCTACAACTTAGTTTTTCAGTAGTACCTGTTATTACGTATTACTCGGTTTTGGTTCTGTCTCCTTGTTTGCCTAAAGTTGTCCGTGTCTAAATCCAAATTCAGCTTAAGAGTAACAGCTAGTTTCTATGGCTGTTGAATTTTATAGCCATGATTTCTTTTGGATTTTGATGAATTATTTCTTATTCATACTGTTCCTTTTTCATGTTATGGTACTGGATAAGAATGAAAGAAAGGGTTACCTAGGTAAGAAAATTCTCTATCTTAGCTTCCTGAATAACTTAGGATTTTTTTTGTTAATCTTAATCAATGTCAAGGAAACTTACAGAAATATAAGGTTTTTGATGATAGGATGCATTTAGATTTTCAAAATCATACCCTAAAGAAGTACTAACTTAGCCTAAGATTGTTGTTTTTCCAATTATACTCAAAGATTTATATAAAGTGTCTGTGTTTGCTGTGGAATTTTAGGATGTGTCACTTTCCCTAAGATGTCAATTTGATCTTAGTCTCACCTATCTCCTAACTTTGGATCTGAACTCCATTTTCAAAGATTCTAGTCTATAAGCAAGAAGCTAATTAATTTTCCACAAGCACTGACATGGTGCTGATGGCCTTCAGCTGGTTCACATTTATACTGCATGGATATAAATATACACACCCTCGCCTTGATGCGGGCCTGACTTTAACAGTCACTGCTCTCGGATCTTCAGAGAAGAAGAACGTACACACATTGTACAACAGTACATCAAAAAGTGTGACTTCATGCTTTATCTAAGGCTTATGAAAGTGCAAATGAAATAGCAATGAAAGGGTAGAGTTACTACTCATTGCTTTATAAAAGAGCCAGGTGTGGAGCCCAGTGATGATGGGTGCACAGAAGAGAGAGCAAAGCCCAGACTCTTGTGTTCCTTTCTTTGTTACTGTTATCTTTTCTTCTCTTTCTTTTTTGCCCTCTGTCTCTTTTTCCTACAACTGCTTTCTGTCCCCTTCTTCTATTCTTGCTCTTCCTTCTCATCTAGCACTTTGGGAACTTTTTTTTTTTTTTGTATGTTAGTCACTGTCTAAAGAATTGGACTGGGAATGGATAAATATAAGACAAAGATCTCATCTTGATCTATGCATTGTCATGCACTGAAAAGGTTCAAAAGTCCAGAGTTCTCAGAGAACCCACGCAGGACCAGTTTTGTTATTCTTTGGGGTGGGATATATATACTGTACTTTTAAAAATCTCTCCAAACGATTCTACATGTTGCCAGATTTAAGACACACAGAACTTGGAAGTGAGAGGAGAGGTCTTACATTTTTCCTGGGCAGGGCGTGCTTATTCATTGACTCAGATAGTGCCATGTTGAAACTCCACACTTAAAGGGGCACTCCAAACGTTTTAGTTTCTATTAACTGCAAAAGAAAAAAGAACTTTTAGGTAGAAATATATGATATTAATATAGTTGTCTTTGTACCAATGTAGTTGTAAAATATAACTTTTTATTTTTTTAGTAGGAGAATGGAGTCCTATGGACCATATTGGTAGTAATGCCCCCTCACCCCTCATTTTCCAACTTGGATTTCTTTGTGCTCAAACTTATCCATGCAGATCTAAGTGGTAAAATAGTAGCATTAAGTAAGAAGGAAATTTTCATGGTTTCCATAGTCAAATTGGAACCGATAGACTAATGGTTGAAAAGTAAAAGAGAAATCTTCTTATGTACAATTATTTATAAATAAAACCCCATCACAACATGAAGCTCACAGTCCTGGTAGAATAATTTGATGCTAACTAATTTAAAAACATTTGGTAAAAGTATGTGTGTGGCAATATAGGCAAATATATAAACGATCCTTAAAGTACTTTTCATAACTCTCCCACTAAAAATAATTATAATATACTGTTAAAGACAATACTAATGATGTTCTTCATATTGAAAACAGTAAGAATAGATGTTGTATAATTAGTGTTCAATTATATAACTTCAGTTTATGGAGAAATTTTAGGACATTCTCCCAAATTTTAAAAGATGGTGGTGTATTTGTTTTGCTTTTTGCTGTATAACTTACAGAGTTACATGCTAATGAGTACTTCTGTTTGTATCTGCTTTTATATTCAAATATTTAATGCATTTGTGATTTGGACTTTTTGTCTCCTGCTTTCTGAGGTCTATTAGTTTTAGAGACACTGAATAATTAGTTACATAAGATGGGAAAAGTCTATTGAAAATGTTATTTAACAAAACAAAACAAAAACCTCTAGGAGCCAAACTATAAATGAATAAAAATTTAAAAGTGAAATATATCCACTTACATGCAAACCCACCACCACCACAAAATAAAACCCTAAAATGGAAAACAACAAATTCCCACTTATGAAATTCTTCAATGCGTGCATTATCCTTAGTTTCATTGATGGCGAGAAGCAGAGATTTTTGATCTGCTTCCTCAGTTCTGTTCACATTTTCCAGGTATCAATTTCGGAAGGCAGTGCTATGTTCTGCGTTTATCACATTCAGCCAGGGCTGCCCCAACCTCTCCTCTTGCTTTAACATCTGCTTTTTCTTGGTTTCTTACTTTAATTACAGACTTACACAGAGTAAATCAGGTTTTGTATAACCTCGGACTGAAATGTGTTCATTTATCAAAGAGGTATGGAGAAGTAAACTTGAGTATTTAGTGGTTTTTCCTCTAAGGAATTTATGTCTGGCAGGGAGGTTTTATATCCTGGCTTAAGGGAGAAAAAGGAAAAAGCAGTCTGTCACATAGTCTAGTTCCATGGATTACTATGCTACTCATGAGGGTGCTTGCTGACTTTCTCAGCAGCAAGGTCACCCACAGGGGGACTCTGGGGTTCAGCAGAGTACCAGAATCAAGGTATTTTCCAAGATGTTAAATGTGCGGGAAAAATGGATGCGTCTGATTGCCCTTACTGTGAAAGGCACATGGTTCTAGAGAGGCCTGTAAAGTGGTGTGCACAAGGCCCTCCCTGAAGTGCTGCTGTGTGGTCTTGGCCACCGGAGAACAAGGCAGGTGGAGAAGTAAACAGACTAACTTTTGTAAAGCAGTGGGTCTTTGACAACTTAGGACAATTTGCAAGATGGATACAAAGCTGTAGACCATGCTTGGCCTTGAAGCCAAATGAGTTGTGGTTTGACAGTAAGTTTAAATTCATTACCAGATGTGCAGAAATGGGCCGGTTGTTTATGTATATGCTTTCTCTCTTTCAGGTTCTTCAGCTGGGATCAGATATCCTTCCTCAGTATAAACAAGAAGCGCCAAAGACGCCACCACACATTATTTTACACTATTGTGCTTTTAAAACTACGTGGGACTGGGTGATTTTAATTCTTACCTTCTACACCGCCATTATGGTTCCTTACAACGTTTCTTTCAAAACAAAGCAGAACAATATTGCCTGGTTGGTGCTGGACAGTGTGGTGGATGTTATTTTTCTGGTTGATATTGTTTTAAATTTTCACACAACTTTTGTGGGGCCTGGTGGAGAGGTCATTTCTGATCCTAAATTGATAAGGATGAACTATCTGAAAACCTGGTTTGTGATTGATCTGCTGTCTTGTTTACCTTATGACATCATCAATGCCTTTGAAAATGTGGATGAGGTAAGTGATTCTGATTTTGTGTATTTATAATACTGTGGATCATATTTTCTGACAACGTCGGTATGAAAAGATTGTGCAGATGATACAAGCATCATTTTAGCCAACACTTTTAAACTTCATTATTAAACACTTGCTACAAGTTATATTTGATTATCTTCAGTTGAGTTTCATGATTTCTGGATGACCATGCTAATTACTAGGAAAATGACTGTGATTAAAGGTTGTGATTGGAGTAGGTAGAGGAGAGGCAAAATAGCTGCATTTGGAGCTCATAGATGAGGAACTAGATGTATTTAAAATTGTTCATCATTGGATCTTTGGGCTCCTTTCCTCCTCACGCATATGAGAGCAGTGCTAGAGTCATAAAGAAGATGAAATCTCAAGGAGTGATGGCTTTTGACTTTTTGCCATTTTGGTTTATACTTTCACTCAAATTTTGCCTGAAAACATTTGCGGATTGAGATGGTTTTGAAGGACTTCATATGTATAGTTTAATGGGAGGTTCTACTCCTTCAGTGTTATCTGTGCTACTGGAAATACTTAAAGTGTGTGATATTTTAAAATATCACTACATTCATGACTTTTTGATGTCTTACTTTGAAGTGGATTTGTACAAGTTGTTATATACCAAGATAAGAAGATTCAACCAATAATCTCAGTTAATAATATAGAGCAGAGTTAATACAGAATATCTCTATAATTAAACATGTTCTTATAATGATAATGTTATTAAATTAATTTTCCTGAAGATTCTACCATTTTTCTAAACTGTTCAGATGAAAATTTCATTACGTTATTGATAATGCTCTTGTTATTCTATGTGTGTTGAGAGTTATATCAAAACTTTTCAATGATTTTTATAAAGTTTCTACATTCAGTCAAGTATAATGATATTAAAATTTATTTCTTTGAAAGTCAAGTGTAGGTTTTGTATTTTGATACTGTTAACATATTTGTTACCTTAAAATTATGGAAAAGAAGAACCATAGTAATTCATCTTCTAATTTTAGATCTCATATGTAACTTTTAAAAGTATGTTTATTTTTTTTCTGACTTATCCTCTGGAGATAGTTAAAGGGAATTAATTTTGAAAGTTCTAATTGTATGATAAAGGGACAAGAAATAGTTTTTCACTTACTACCTCAGTATATTATGACTATAGTTATTTAGAACATGAATTCTCTAGGTTTTGGTTCGAAGAACGGGTTTTTTGGAAAACAGTTTTTCTGTGGAAGTACAGCAGGTGGATGGGTTTGGGATGATTTAAAGAAGCACCAAGCCTAGAGCCATCACATGTATGTACAGTTCACAGGAAGATTTATGTTCTTATGAAAAGCTAATGCTACCACTGATTTGATGGGGAGTGGCTAGAAATACAGATAAACTTTTGCATGCTGTCCGAGTGCTCACTTCCTGTTCTGTGGCCTGATTCCTAACAGGCCACAACCAGTACTCATTCTTAACCCTGGGGACTGAGGATCTCTGATTTAGAAGATGGACATAAAGATTTTCATGTGGATTCTTAAAAAGTTAATCTCATAGAATAGAGAGTAGAAAGATAGTTGGGGAGATTTGGATAAAAGACACAAAATTTCAGTTAGATGGGGGAGATTAGCTTAGGGTATCCACTTTACAGGGTAGAGATTATATTTAACAATACCATATTTAAAAATGATGACGGCATGAAGGGATGGAGAGAGTGGGGATGTGCTTGTCAGTTGTGTGTTACTGTAATGAAATCCCTGATACAGGTTACTTAGGAAGTGAACAGAGGCTTATTTTCCTCATAGTTCTGGAGGTCTGTCTGCGAGACTAGACAGACCTAATTTTGAGCCCCTGGTGAGACTGGCAGATGGCAGTGGTGGGAGTATGTGATGGAGCAGTGACAGAGCCAGGAACACACTGAGAGGGAGCACACAGACAGGAAGACTTCCACTGTCCCTTTTGAGGGCACAATTCTATGGCTTAAACAGCTCCACTTCAGCCTACCTCTTAAAAGCCCATAGGATCTCCCAGTAGTGCCAGCCTGGGGACAAGCCTTTGCATATGGACCTCAGGGGATGTTCAGCATCCAGAACATGTCAGTACATATGTGTTCTCATCCCTAAGATGCTGAGATAATGCTCATGTTAAATAGCTCCAGTTAGTCATTCCATATGTCTATATGCTTCAGAGCTGCATGTACATAAGAGTACATACAATCTGATTAGCCAGTTAAAAATAAATCCAAAGACTGGCTTAATTCATAGAGAACATTCATTAAATATATTACATAATAAAACATATTTATAACTATAGATAGTACTGTATCAGTGTATAATATTATATATACTAATTTAAGTATATATTAGAAGATCTCAACTTTTCATTTGAAAGAATATTCAAAGTAATGCTACCTTGCAATACTATTTTTAGTTATCACACTGCAAAGATCAATACTAGGTTGAAACACTAGGCTAGTGAGTGTGCTGACTAAGGCAGTTTGTTGCTCAAATGTCTCTTCTTGAAAGTTGTACTGAGTTGTACTAAGCAGTTAGTGGTATCATGGGTCAGACTCTTCGCTTGGGAAAGAAAGCCAGTTATTAGCACCTTTCTCAAACTCAGGATTCAATGATGTCACCTTGCTACCTTTAAACTGGCCACAGTGGAAGTTATTTACACTGAAGAAAGTAGCAAATGCTCCACTCTCCCATAGCTGCCTTTAATTTTCTGTTAAAGCAAACCCCCACTAAACTTAGATGATTAAGGGATGCTGTGATTTCAGATTTGCCGCAGTGCACGTGCAGAACCACTTTCCTAATGCTGCTTCTAGCCCACAAATGTTTTGGTAGGAAGACTTTAGCATATGTGTGCTACTTTTGTTCTAGGACTTGCTGTTGTGTCTTGTATTTACATATCCCCCCCCAAAGCATCATTAGATCATAGGTAGGGGTTTTTCAGAAGTGGCTGGGCCTAGAGTGTGTGGTGCTAGAATTGATTCACAGTGTATTGCTAGGATCAAAACACTAGGATTAAGGATGTGACTCCTGCCCACCCTCCCTCCCTAAGTAGATGGATAAGGTATAAGGACAGAAAGAGCTGTGTTTATCCCTTGTTGCTTTGCCAAGTTCTGCCTACATGAACTATTGCTCCTCTGTGATGCCACTCTGCCTTAGAGCCAGCAGATTATGGACTGAAAACCTCTACAAACTGAAAGTTACATAAACATTTCCTCTTTAACTTTAGGTGTTGGGTATTTTGTCTCTACAATTAGAGAAAAGTAATTAAGACCCTTTCTATTGCTATACTGAGGTCTGTGATCTCTCATTCTACCAAATCTTCTTTTCCTCCTTCACAGACGTGCATTATGCTCTGAAAGCTTACCTCTCTCCCAACCCCATTCCTAGATATCTAAATCAGTAAAATTCTTACATAAATGATCCTGGCTTGGCATAGGATCATCCCAGAACCTGAACTGATAAAGTGGCGTCCAGGACAAGCCACTGTCACACTTTGCTTAAGATAGTACAAAGGGATGAAACCTCTGTGAAGAATAATTGGCAGTGTCTTATTTAAAAAAAAAACCAGATCATATCATTTAGGGGATTTTAAAAAAGCATTTGCTTCTGTGGTACCAAATAACCCCATTGTATATCTTCCCTCCTGGTATCTTAGTTCTAGGCCTTGACTTCTCCCTTTGGCTGATGAGATCTTAGACTTCTTTTCTATCTGTTCAATTTTATGCACACCATTTCGTTCATGTGCTTTTCACAATCTAGGTATATTATTTTTTGGTTCAATTAGTGTGCACTGTTTATACTATAAATACATATATGCTCTTTATAGTTGAGTCTTGGGGCATACTAGATTACTTTTCCTTTTCTGTACTTTGGTTTTCTTAGGAGCTGATAACTGTCAACTTTATCATTTGCTTAGTTTTCTGTGCAGCTATTAAATCACTAAACTGTCTGCTAATTGTCTAAATATCCCCTCGTTACATAAATGCAAGGGATATTCTATCTCTGTCCTTCTAGAACTCCTTTTAGATACTGTATCTGCTAGACTAATGAGGTAAATTCCTCTCTTTATTGCATTTACTTTTCAGCTGTTTTTCTTTCTGTGCCCTTTGTGGATAGTTCTTTAGCATCTGTCCCTAATTAATGCTTTTTTGCCTAAAATCTGTTTTGTTTGATTCTAATATAGCTAAATTAGCTTTTGTTATAGTTAGAGTGTATTTGGTATATACATTTGTAATATTTTACATTATATAATTCTCAGTTATACTCTAGATGCATATTTTATCTCAGTAGATTCTGAGAATATCTTTAATCTGGCTAGTTTAATCTATCTATATTTATTGTGATTACTTACATCTTGATTTATTTAGAAAATCTTATTTTTCACTTCTTGGGTGTAGCGTATTTTATTTATGCATTTTTATTGATTTATATTTGTGATACATAATAACTGTATTAATCAGGGGAGATAAAAAATATGTATCTTTATTTTCTATTTTTCCCCTCAATTCTACCCTCATTTGCATTGTTTTAGTTTTACTTTAGCCAGTTATGTTTCTTCTACTGGTTAGGAAGTTTTCAGTTATTCTCATATTTTAACATTAGTATTTGACTTACATTCTGAAAGCTTGGGAGTTGCTTTACCTTTCTCCTAAATAATTTCAGAACCTCTACACCTTCTGTCTGTCAGGTTGTCATCATTTTGGATTTTGGCTCCACGTTGTTTTTAACCCTGCCTTTTGATTATTATCTTACTGATCACCCTGTCAGTAGTTACCTAAACTTATGCACGCATGTCAGTTCTTTGTCACTTGTCTTGTCTGGCGCAGGTCTTGCAGACGTGCACTCTGTTATGCAGTGGAAGCATTCAGCTTTCTCCTTCAGGGAGCCTTCCCACATCATTCTCAAGCGGCTCTTTACCAATACCTTCATTGTGGCTTGTCTTTACTTATGGACATGCAAACATACTCATATAGTGGCACTGAATTTCCTTTTGTTGCTTTG